AGATTTCCAGTAAAAGGCTCTTTTGATCTTTTACAGTCACTCTCTCAACTTCAGTGCCTTATGGATTGTTCTAATGTCATGGCCAATTGTTATGGGAGGACAATAAATCCAGGAAGGAGGTAAAACAAAGGCCCTATTGTCTAAAAGCCATGTCTGAATCCTGTTAATCGAACATACTTACTGACACAGGGTTTCTCAAAACTGTTTTTACTCATGATACCACTCTGCTGCCAAGGTTGGAGGCTGAAAATAACAAATATTATGCGTTGCATGTTTGCATGCATGGAGGAATGCTGCAAAGAAGGCCAGATATCACAGTATTATTGATGATGTCAGTGCAGCAGTTACCTTTGTATTGTTTTTGAAACAACATGGTACAGTTTAAAAAATATATATATGCGTCATGGAAGACGGTTGAAATTCGTTGTCTCTGCATGCCTCTTCCTGCTTTGTGACAAACTTGGCACACTGTCTCTCCAAACAATGAGCAATGAATGACTAACATGGCATTTTATTGCACATGATGTCATGGCTCTTTAAGGTTGTGATAAGAGTAGACATGTTGAGGAGAAACGTGTGAAGCAGGACTCCCAGGATGAAGCGCCACAGGTGTGTGTGTGAACGTCAGCTGATAAGCATGCAGTCTCATTAGGTGAGTGTCAAACTAGGCGCCACTATTATATAAGTATTAGGTATTAAACCAGTGATAAAAGGGTTTGGTACTTTTTATTTGACAGGTTTCAAAGCTGCAGCGTTTATGTTTTTAAAGTACAAACCAGTGGTTGAAAGTGAATAACTACATTTACTCAAATACTGTAATTAAGTACAATATTGAGGCACTTGTACTTAAGTGGAGTGTTGTGTATTAGTGTTGTTTAATACTTCCACTACATCTATGAGGAAATCTAGTTTTACTCCACTACCTTAATTAGACATCTTTACTTTACAAATACATATGTTTGCATTCATTGACAGAACATTAACTTATTTATGAGGCTTGGCTTACTTAACCTATTAATAATTTCAATACATTATGATTTTGTATTGATTTAGACTATTGTTGCAGGTTTTGACTCATAGTGCGAAATACTGTATACATAAAAAAAAAGATTAAAGATAATAATAATAATAATAATAAATTGTATTTTTTGTTATTATTGTTAATCTTTTTTTTAAGATAACAGTGCAACATTAAAGTGAACACATTCATTTATGAGTAATTCTAATATAATTGATATCATTTTGCATAATGCATACTTTTACTTTTGGTGCTTAAAGTATATTTTGATGTTAATACTTTTGTACTATAATGAAGGTAGAATATTGTGCTGCTTATATTAAAGCAGTTCTACAGTGCAGTATTACTAATTGTGCTCAGTTCAATGACTATGACTTCCTCCTCCTCTGGTATAAACTATATTGAGATCTAAACCCAAGGCTGAATAGATTACTTATGGATAAAACTTCACAAAACCCATGTGGACATCATGTTATAAATGCTGAAGAAAATGTGGATTACGTAATGTGTTTATTTTTCTCGTTGTCCATAAACTGCAGCTGTCTTATTGTTCTGTTCAAGCACAAATCATTGCATTGTTAATGTGCCGTATTAGCTCCAGTGGCTGCAGTACAAAAGCCCACAGGCGGGCCATCTGAGGGAGGCTAGGTCATTGTCAAGATGTGGGTTTAGACTTGTTAGCTAATAGCAAAGGAATTTAAAGCTATTTAGATCAACAGATAAGTGTTATTATAAATGTATGACTACACAACTTCCTTGGCACCATGCCGTCACTGCCTTGATGTTTGCGTTTCATTGTCATTCACAGCTTTTTCTCGAGTCTAGGTTTAATCTATTTAAACAGAGTAAAAAGGAGCTGGACTGGTGTAAATATGCTCATGTTGATTTAAAACTTGGCCAAAGACTTTATGTATAAAGATAGTCTGTTTATGCTTTGTCTGTCCTGCCTGTAGAAGCTTAAAAATAGGCTTTTGTGCCATGGGACAAATTATTATGTGGATGTAATAGATGCCTGGCATCCAACATTTATAGCTAAAACTATAAAAGTAATAAACAGAAAGTTTATTCTAATGACATTGGATTCAACTCTTAGTTGAAATTAATTTTTTAGAGGAGCTTTTTTTGTGTAATATTAAGCTGAAGAGTTTTCTAGGGTTAGATTTCTCTGGATATTGTCAAAAGCTCTGGCAAAACACGGCTGACATAACACATGTAAGAATTTTCATTTTTCCATTCCTTTCATATCAACCACAAATGTTTATTTTTGATCATGATCCAGAGCAAAAACTCAATCTTATCTGTACTGAAACTTGACCAGGAGGCCGATCATGCCTTTGTGATGACATACACCAAGTGGAAAAGTACAGACCCCCTCTAGCACCCATGCAAACTCTCTCCTCCGCTGCAGCTATCACTCTCCTTTCATGCGGCCTGCATCGGTGACATCACCCCTTAAAAACAAGTCTTCCAAGTCGTATTTACTGACTAATGAAATGGAAGATTTCTAATAAGTTTGATCACAAACAGAGGCCTGTGGCGAGAAAACATCAGGATTGTATTATCAACTTGGGAGGCAATGATATCAGCCATCAGGCCAGAACCAACTTGTCTTTAACAGTCATCTTCAAAGATGCACATAAAGGAAGATGGCACAAATAAAGATCTTTCAGATGCAGGCTGGATTATTTGGAACGGATGTGGGCAGCACTGTTACGCACGTGGATGAGAGCTGTTGGGAGGAGGGGGGACTTCCTGCAAACACCATAAGGAAGGTGTTACAGTAGCGCAATCGGACTTGGTGGGTAGAGGTGGGACAGCTGGTTCAAATCTTATCAGTACAGTCAATTTGTGAACAACTCTCCATCCTTTAAAAATGTTTGCAGAAGGTGGAAAACAGTGGCTTTTAAACAAAGTGATCAGAAAAAAAAGCATACGTTTTCCTTCAATTTTCACTCAGACCTTAAATGAAGTGAACAAAATAGTGTTTGTGAACTTTGAGCAAATCTAACATTGCTATATAACACACCCACCTTTGTATTGTCTTTTTAAAGGACATCTGAAAGTTAGATATTTTGGGAAATGTATTTCAAAATGTTCTATCATATTGTTTACTGTAAGGTCTTTCAAGTAAATATTAAAATATAGACAGTAGCCTGTTAGCTTAGCATGCAACAACATGTGGAAACAGTTTTACAGCTCTGTCCACAACAAAACTTTGTCTACCAAATCCTCAAAAGCTAACTCAAAAGCTAACTCATAAACACATAATCACCACATCCATGTATCTTGTAGGCAGGCTAGCTGTTTAAGGTATTTGTGTTAACCTGACATTGGTCTCAATGTTACACAGTCAGGGTTGGAAAAATGTGTTGGAAAACTGGGTAAAAAATCGTTAATGTTTTTTTAATTTCTTGCTTTAAATTGGATTCTAGGCTAAGCTCTGAATGGCAGTATTTAATCTAGTAAAATCTCTCCGTGGACTGGATTGCTTTAACATTTTCAAAAAGATCTGCCCATATATTTCTTTCTGACAAATAATGATCCTAAATAAAAAATAACCCAAATGTTCCAGTTGAATGCGACCAACATTTCGGCATGTGGTGGTGTCATAGTCACAGTGTGCCCGCAGCGCACATAAATCGCACACTTTTAGAGCCTCTCACCCAGCAATATGAGGAAATGGCATTTTAAAGTCAGCCAAACCTCTTGAACTCCACCCATCCAGCCTTCTTTGAACACCACCCAGCCTGTGCAGAATGTATCTCTGATTTCAAGCTGCAACACATTAAAACTCTTCCTTAAGATGACTTCATCATGAAACCAGAGCTCTTTTAAAAGCATAATTAACCGTGTCGACTCCGAGGGCTAACTCTGTCATATGGAGCCCTGCTGAGTGACTGCTGTCCCACTGCTGGCTGCTTTGGTCCTGCTCGAACACTGGCAACTTTAGAGCACATCAATTAATATATTTCTTTAATGTTTCCATTTCTAAATGCCCAGGATTTTACACTGTGTTGTAAAATGAGGCATTACCTCAATATCATAGTGACTGGGTTTCGTTGTTCGTGGCTGAGCAGCTACTTCAAGCGAGTCGACCAGGTGCGGCCTGGGGTCACGACTGAGGGCAGCTGAGTGAAGAGTGAGAGTTTCCTTTTTTGGGTAAAGCTTTCAACAGTGGAAGCAGATTCTCCGCTGTACTCCCAAATATTTTCTCTGCCGTCTGCTCTCTCCAATAATCCCTGCTCCCCTGACATACGCACGCCACCCCTAGCATTCCAATCAGTCAGCCCAACATGTGCTCTGTTGAACCCCAGCCACCATCAAGGAGTGGTAGGGGTCGTCATCTGCTTGACTGTGATTTCCCCCCCCCTACACTTGTCATGCCAGCAGCTCTGAGGTTTAAGGGGCTGTTCCATTCAGCTGGAACCTGTGTGACAACTGCTCCTGGCTGATGGGGAAAGGCTCTGAGCTTGGGAAAGCACTCTCACTCCTGGACAGACAGCGATCACAAGAGCCTCTGAAGCTTACTCTCTCCTCAGATTTCACCCTGGATTTAAAGAAAAAGGCCTGCTCCCTTTGAAAGACTTTCAGAGCAAAACACCTCAGGGCTAATTCTGTTCTTCTGCACTTCAAGGTGCAGGTAAGGGTGAGGCACTGTGGGTGTGTGTGAGTTTTAGGATATTACCTCATAGAGGATAAGCTGTGATTGAAGAGGTTTGACAGAGGTCTCTCCCTCTGACTCCATTACTCGCCTCTTATCTGGACAGAATTTCTGTTCGGGTTCAGAGGGGAAGTTTTGACAGCCAGACTTTACAGCCCCCTCACAGCTCTGTCGCTCCTGACAGAGAGAAAGAGAAGAGAGAAAGAGAAAGAGGGAGAGTGAGAGTGTGTGTAGAGGTGGTGACTTCATCCCCACTCTTAACCAACCCTCCTCTTTCCCCCTCCTTTTTTGAGCTTTCTTTTTTTCATTTTTTTCCTCCGCACAGCCCTGTCAGGCAGCATGCCAGCAGTTTTCATCTTGCTGCGGTCCCTGGTTATCAGGCTCCTCAGTAGCAGACTGGCAGGCTCAGTGGCACAGTTCCTCAGGAGAACCCTCTCTACAGGCGCTGCACACATTGGCACAGCGCTGCGCCACGTCTGGGACCGTATTAGATCCCAGGAGTCCAAGGAAGCCGTCCTGGGCTGTGTGTTGTGCCTTCTCAACATGCACAAGAAGGTGGAGACCTGAGCTCTCCCTTCACTTTCTGTTCAACTCACTACTTGCCTGCTGAACAGACTGGACAAACAGCGCTGGTGAGTGAGTAGTGGTGTACAAAGGGATGTGAATGACTTTTTTCAATGTACATTTGGACTGCAGCATTTTTTGTTTTCTTATCTGGACACTGGCAATGTCTGAAAGCATAGTAAGGAAGGTTCAGCCCTTCACGATTGGGACGAGGCTGTCAGTCCCGGCTGTGCCAAAATGCGAGGAGTTTACACAGAGTTATCTGCAGAGCCAGAGTTTGGATAACTGCACTCTACAGCACAACCTGAACTCACTCTACCTCAGTCGATCCCAGGTCTGCACACACGGCCCCTGTCTCGTCTCACCCATGGTCAAGCAGGTAGCCCCTGTGAAGCACAACCAGGACGACATGGCAGCTGAGGACCATCTGAACCAGAATGTTGCATCTCCCTCCGCCGTCTCCCGGTCCATCAAGAAGATAACGATCTCTGGAAGTAGAGAAAGATCGGAGAACAATGTGTCAGTGGGACCAGTACAGCTTTCAATCACAGGGTCCACATCCGAAAACAACAATAACAACAACAACGTCACCAGCACCTCAGATACACATCTGCCCCGGATTGTGGGTGTGAGCTGTGAGAATAAACCTGGTTCTCACTTCAAGGTACAAGACACACTTTACTCATTCAAATATGCCAATTTAACACCCAGGGAAATAATAAATCACACAGAAGTGGGATTTCTTCTAATATTGCTGTTCAATTAAAAACTAATAAAGAGGATATGTAGGTAGTTTATCTTTTTAAATATATGTGTAAACGACAGTTTTGGTTAATTTAGTTAATGTGATAAGATTTATACTTTAAATGGCCATATCATAAAACAAATAAACTACTGAAGAAATTAACCTCATCATTGAAAATAGACATTCTACACATTTTCAACCTTTCCTAGAGTACAAATATTTAGCAGTAGGCCTATAGGCGAGTGTTAATTTCTGTATTTCAACTGTTTTTATGATTTTGAAGTTCTACTGAGAAGAGAACCGAGCACATGAACTAATTAAAGTAGCATAGTAAATCAATAGCAATATACGACAATTAATAATCTCATCATGGTAGCCTACTAGTACAATGTATGACAAATGTATTCAAAGAAAATGTTAAATATTGTAGTTGTTACCAATATTTGATCGAGATATAAGTTTTATGTAGTTTGTCGTGTTGCCATGGAGTTTGTCTTTCTGCCTGCCAGTTTCCCTCTTGTTGTTTAGCTTGTTCGACTAATTTACGGCTCTTTTTCTGCACTCTCAGCTGCTTATTTTGTTATTATAATACAAATAAAGTAATATTATTATTTTAGGTTTTACTCAGAAAAGACAGCAGTGAGGAACTTCAGCCAGCAACGGGACAAACCAAGCCGAAACTAAACGGAGAAAAATGCCTCCAACAGGTAAGATGCTAGCTGCTGTTACCTGCTAAATTATAACTGACAAAAATGAGGTAGCTAGCTTGAGGCGACAAAAATGAGGACATTGTTTTTTATATCACGAATGTAAGTTTAATTAAAAAAAACTTTGAGTATCATATTAAGGCTTACGTTTTTTCATAATCAGTGTTTTGTTGTGGATATTGGGGCTATTTTACCAACTTTATTGACACTGTTTTATATTTTGCTGTGACAGTGGGGTCTTTATAGCCAGCAGCGGAGTTGATGGATCTTTTGGTGTTTAGGAAGTGAAGTCATGTGCTGTGTTCGCCAAAATTAAACGAGTTTATTATATTAAACATTTGGAGCAATGTTACACAGAGGTGGAAAACCAGTTGAGCTATGAAAGCAACGTGTCTTTGAACGCCACACAAATAGCGTACTGTAGGCCTATCCTGTTTTTAACTGTAATTCATTAAAGAAGCAGACTCATGGAGAAAAACAGAATACGTATATTGTAGGATATTGTTTAAACTCAATGGGCTGTTGGATTTGGCCTGTTTCTTGTTGAAGTCATCAGTATGTGTTGTGGATGAAGTGCTCTGTTACAGAGGCAGGGCTCACTGGAAAACATGAGGTCAGGGAAGATGTTAACAAAAGAAAAGGCTTGCTGAAGCCCTCATGGTGGCTGCTTATAATAACACACTGACACAGCAATGGCCTCATTTCCCCTTTTAGGACAAAAAACTACAGTCTACATCTACATCAGCTATTATTGTATAACCACAACAATACTTTCCTTTTCCTCCTCTAATGTATTATTCATTAAAGTGCCCAACAATGGTTATAATTACATGGGAGAAGCTGGTGGTGCCTTTACCTGTTCAGGTATGAAAGAGCAAACATGATCTACCAAAGTCCTTTTAAAGTTGATATGTTTACATGTAAGGCTGACAGTAAAACATGTCCGACATCCCAGGATCTGTCTGTTCCTGCTTCCTTCATGTGCCCAGATGTTTCCTGAGCAGCAGGAACGCTCGATTAGGGAAATGGTGCCAGTCCGGCAGTGTTGACAGTATGTTAAGAGGGACCTTGAGGTAACACAAATGTGTAATGTCTCTGTATTGTGACAAAAATCCCCTCATTGAGAGATCCACCAGCTTCTTATAGAGTTGATCAGTCAGGCATCATTTTGGTTTTGTTTGGTAGATTCAAATGAATGTTGCAGTCAAATTGCCATCATATTTTCAACCATTTATTGTCTGTCTTGTTTGCTTACATAGATATCAGTGCCTGAATCACGTCAAAAAGAGACGCAAAGGAAAGAAAGTCATCCACACACGCAGAATGAAGCATCCGCAGCTGTTCCCACGTCCCAGAGCGACTGCTTCACTCAGCGTTACTCGCTTTTCCACAAGGAAGTACTGCAGGTAAAATGTGGCATTCATACACAATATCAACATCAACAGTTTGTCGAAAGCTCCACTTTCCTCCTTCTTTTTTGTGTTCCCTTAAATAACTGGAAACTTGTAAAATGTTTAGGAGAGTGTGCTTTTTCCACTCTCCATAGATTGCACATGGAGATTTTTTTAATCGGTCAAATCAAACCTTAACTTATCTCTCATCTCCTCAAACAAATACATAATGAAAAAAAGCTGCAGTGGGTTTATCTCAGAAGCAACAAGTTAGGCTGTTTAGATGAAATCACAAAGGAAGCTGTCGTATGACCCGCATGACAAAATATGTACTGGTTATAATTTTGTCTCGAGGACTGTACGCGCTGTGTTCGGCTGAGGCGAAGAGAGGGAGGGGAAACCGCCACAAGTGAAGCAATTATTTAGAAGTGAGATCATTGTTTGGCTCCATCTCTTCACGCCTATGTCCCAGAGAGACTCAGCCAAGCAGCACAACTGGCTGTGTTATCTCATCGCTGCGTCCACCCCAGTGTACAAGGACATTTTTCTGCGAGTTCGGCTGAGGGACATTTTGTCCGGCAGTCGGCTTTGTCATCAACCATCCAAGTGATAGGCTGTTTACTCCCAGTAATAAGAAAGTCATTTAGGATGTGTCCGCTGAAGGAAACATCTGATGTATGTATGTGTTGAAAACAGCTCTGTGGCACATCGTTAATGTTAAAGAGCTTAGCAGCCCCTTTGCTCTTAAGTGGAGCTTGCATTTCTGTTGATTTGGTGTACTTTAAATAACCAGAGTTTTTTGTATCTGGGGACTTAGCTGTTTTACAGGGATTTGGTTGACTGCTATCGCTGATGAGAATATATTATTCCAGTATTATGTCGCTCTGGAAGTGGAAGTGAGTTTTCCAGGGAGAGACTTTTAAAGGGCCCTAATGTTTCGAGCTAAGGAGAGCAAAGCAGGTCCCCACATGGAGAAGCCCGGTGCTCGCTCGCTGAGAACCATCTGTCTTCGAGGCCGCTCTGCAAAACTTCTTGCCTTTCAGCGTCTCCTTTCCATGATAGAGAAAGTGGAGAAACTTCCACTCCCACAGTCTTGTCAGCGCCGAGTTACAAAAGGGCCCAAAAATTAGGCTTGCTGGTAATCACTTTTATAAAGTGTGAAGAGGTGGGCACTCGTTCTCCCGTTAAGATGCCAAAATTGGGTTACTTTGAAGCTTGCAGAAAGGAAAAGTGGCCGTAAAAAAAAGAGAAGGGTGGTTTCTGTTTACAGTTTGTAATCAAACATGGAGTTTATTTTAAAATTTGGTCCGTGTTGACTGCAGTGATTTTTTTTTTCCTGTGTGGACACAGATTTTTCACAAATAAATCAAAGGCAGTGATACAATCTGAGCTGCATGCATTAGCCGTCTATTCTCAGCGGCTGCACTAAGGCCTTACTGTACCTTTTGATAAACAGACAATTGTTGTGGAGAGCGGACAGGAAAAAACAAGGGACTCAGACTTCCTGTATGAGGTCATTATAGAGCCAGTGTGAGGAGATAGGGGCAGGCCTGTTTTGTCAAGCTCTTTTCCTTCTGTTCGGGGGGGAAATGCTGCACCGGGGGGATTGTAAAGTTAATGACATGCCTGTCTTAAGGGGGAAGGGACATCAGATTTTAATCTCAAGCAAACAGTCGTTTAGAGGCTGTGTCATCTGTGGTGTTTTATTGATCCAAAAGAGAGGTTACTGTAGAGTCTATTATTCGTCAGTCGTACTAAATTCCTTGGGAAATTATGCTTTTATCTGAAGTTATAATCACTTACTTGTGTGCTTAACTGACAGTCTACACAATCGCAACACACAAAATAAAGTTCTGCAGGTTTTATCAATTGTATGACTCACTAAAAATTAGTCTGTGTTGATTTATTAATCCAATCAATTATAGGGTGGGTCGCTCACTTTCACACTGGGCTCGTAGCAGAAAGCAAACATGTACTTTCCAACACTTTCTGACTTTGGGCACCTGGTTCGCAGTTCTTCTCACTCCATACAAATGTTGCCAGAAAAGGCAACTCTGCAAGACAAAGCCTTATGCAATAGAGCCCAGACCCTCGCCAAGAGAAACTTCTGCTCTGCATAACATGACATTAGAGAACAAAGAGCTGTGCTTGATGTGTCTGAGGCTCTGTATTACTCTAATTCGGGGAAGAAAATGTAGCCTGTTTGCCTCTTCGATAAGCAGAACAAGACCTTTGCTGAGTGCTCTGTCACACAGCTGATATATCACAACCTGTAGGCTGAAGATAAGCCTCATATGAGTTATGAAATGATTCATACAAATATATCAACAAATATGACTTCTATACATACATAATTATTGCTTCCTATGCCAACATTTTTATATTCGATCAGCTTTCTAAAGGTGAGACATTCTCAGATTTCACTCTCATCATAAAACAGGTCTATAAACAGACATACAGTATGTGCTGATTGCAGGGTCGGGAGGCTTAAAACAGTTTAACTTTAAAAACGTTATCTTATACAATAACAAATTACTTTAAAATTGCGTCAGTTTCAAAGTATTACACTAGTTATGATACCTTTCTGAAATGTTATCATTATATTGTATGTAAAGCACAAAAAGGAAACAACATAATGGTAAAAGTTCTGCCTTGTGAACATGCTGTCATCTTCCAATGACAAAACTCATTTGGCACATTAGTGTTTGAGATTTTAACCATCCTGCCTTGCAGTAATTTGCACATTGCTGTGATGTCATTAACCTTTTAGATGTACATACAAAGTAATGGCAATATAATCCTAATTACATAAAACTGTTCCATGTAGTCATTACTCCCAAAAAGAGCTTGATGCATATCTTAACACTTTGACCGTGTGTCTGTTTGTGATGTAGGCAGAGGCGTGGATCAAAGGCAAGCTGCGGGACCTGAAGGATGGATGTAATATTCAGCGCTGCCCCCTGCAGGACTGGGGGGAAGCCTCGCAGACGCTCCACAGAGACCTCAAAGACTTTGAGAACACCCTAATACAACTCAACCAGGTAAGATAAACATTGAACACGCGCCCGGACTCTAACTGAAATAGAGACCAGAGCCAGCAGCACAGCAACCCACATCACAAATGAAATGTTTATTTAAAGCTTTTAACAGGTAATAGAGTTCCGAATGCAAACATGAATCACTTTCTATAGTGTTGAAAGAGTCCGTAAGATCACATAACATTATGGTAGGCATTTCCAGTCGGCCGGAGAGAAAATCAGAGCCTCAGTGTTCCAGACGGCTCTGACAAGCCTGTTTATTCTTTCTCCCTCCGGAGAAAATGTTTGGAAATGGTACATTGCTGATAATTAACCTCCCCTGACACTCAGGCAGCTCAGGAAGGGTAGAAGCAGAACCGGTAGACTTTTCAAGGGTATATCCAAGAAATATATGGCAGTTTTCCAACATCTGTGAAGCCGCATGGCACATAAGCAATGACTCCGACAAACTTGACGTGTGTAGTGTGCTCCGCCACTGTTGTATGTCAAGTCTGGCGGCTCCCTCTGCTCTACATCTTAAATGAACAGCAACTTTCTGTTTCTTAAAGATGGGTGAGCAGCTGATCTGCAAGCTAAACCCCACCTCTGACCTGGTGAAGAAACAACTCAGCCAGCTCAGGGACATGTGGCAGACCCTCAAGCAGACGGCCGCAAATCAGACGAGGGCGCTGGGTGGAGCCAAGAACCTGCAGGAGTTCAACAAGAAAGTGGACAAGCTGGAGGCATGGATCAAAGACAAGGTACAAAATTACAGCTTTCTCTGAATTTGTGCTTAGTGTAATAAGTGGATTTCATCACATGGGGAGGGTTATTTTGACCCCTTTTCTCACCCTGCACAAGTGTTTCATTTCTTAACGATTGGTCGTTTTTAGGCACTTAATGCAGTTATTTTTCATATATTGCTTAATGTATGACGCTATCATTCTCTACTGATAATTTCATTTGCATGTTCTCATTCTCAAATGCAAAACTAATATGAAACAGGGTGAAATGAGTACTTAAAATAAGAGTTATTTTGCTTTCATGTACTTGCTTTTGAGTTTCACAGACATTTCCCTCCCGACCCTTTTTTACTTTTGATCATTATTAACCTGTTCACATGATTTCCCCAAGTTTCATCATTTTCCCATTTATCTAAGCATAAAAGCCATCACGCTCTCTGATTGTAATAATTACCAAAAAACAGTTGGCCCAGAGGAAAATAAATGGGTGGACAGACAGCTCCGATCAACAGTTGTCAAGGTAATTGGCAGGAAAAAAATGACTTGCTAATACAGGAAATTATCTCAGCATCCTGAGGACGCTTCTTATTTGTGTATATTATTCACCGCTTTAAAACATCTGCCCGTCATTATCAAGAAGCAATCTGCGTTTCATGTTTATCTTTCTGTTCATGTCCATGTCTGGCACAAGGGAACCTGTGATTGATAATGGACCTGTGGGAATGTAGCGGCGGATGTTAGTCTATAAAACATCCATCCCTACAGGAGACTGCATTCTCCATTTAGTTCCACTCAACCTTCCATACGTGCATTAGTATCGAGTTCTCACCTAATGCTGTAGGCTAGCTCTGTTCAGCATCTTCCCTGGTAATGTGGTAGATCCTGGTGCCTCTGAGAAGAAATAATGGTTGGGTTCCGAACAAATGGGGGCTATAAATACTGACTTTTATGTGTGCCAGCAGGAAGAGGAGCAGTCTCTGGTGAATGTCCTCGGGGAACATGTTGACAAAATGCAGCTGACCAGGAGGATCTTAGATCTAAAGCAGGTGAGCATGAAACATGCTAAACAACATTCTTCCCATATGTTAATAGTTTATAATACATTTCTGCAGAGGTCATTTATCTATGGCTGTCTATAATTGTGTCTCCCAGAGTGTATGGTAGAGACAGCTGAGGTCATAGTTGGATTGTGTTCCCCTGTTTCTCTACAGGATGAGCAGCTATACGGAAACCTCCACGAGGAGATCAACCACCTGGCCCTAAAACTGGAGAAACAGGGGAAGACAGATGGGAAAAACATCTCCAGCAAGAGGAAACACATCAATAAAATGTACACTTTGAGTTGAACTGGTATGCTGCATGAAACATCCTCACTCTAGGGAGAAGACTGATTTGATATTTTCTTTGTAGGTGGCTGAAGGTCCAGTCTCATCTGAAAAACTACCATGAGAATCTTCAGCTGGCACTGGAGGTGTCCTCGTTCTACCAGCAGGCTGATAACACGTTGCTTGCTATTAATAACATGGTACAATTCCCTGGTGGTTTCATTCTTTCTTTTCCGCTGAGATATAAGACATTTTACTCACATTACATTCTCTTTTTTCAGAGGAAGAGCATGTCTGAATCCAAAGAGCTGGACAGCGTCGGAGATAGAGAAATACGCGACATCGCCAGTCAAATCATGGTAAGAAGGTTTTTTGTGTTTTTTAAGAAACACTGCCTGATCAGATCCTGGAAGTGTTGCAGAAGCCTTCTCTACCTAACCTACAGGCCTGTGTGTGGTAGATGCTTGATGTGAGCGTGTCCCAGGTTTCTAATCTCCACCCCGCCCTGGCTGCCGGCGTCACGCAGAAGCAGAGCGAGGTGAAGGACTGCTGGGCGCTTCTTCAGAAGGTTCTCAGGTAGGCCAAGGATACAGCACACAACTCTGGTGGCCCCATGAGTGCATGCGCCATTTCCCCCAGTAATTGGTCCTCCACAGGTTTCCACTGAGCTGGAACATTATTTCTCCGTTATTGCTTTTCTTGTGCCCTACATTAAAAGTACGCAAACCCTAGAAGACGTTTTCCATTTTAAGTTTGTATAACGTTTTTTTTCCTCTCGATTAGCCTTGCTGTATTTGGGTTTGAATCAGTGAAAAATTATAAGCAAAGTGAAGCACCGGACTGTCTGGAGACAAACTACCCACAAAGCATCACTCGCCACCCACTTGTTTGAGTTTAATATATTCAGTTCTGCACTGCTGGAATTGCACCATGTGTTTGATTACTGTACTAGGTGATTAATGCTTTGGCTTACTGAGTCGCATTGGCAATACGGCTCTCTCTCTGTTAAAACCGTGCCGTCACCTCAAGTAGTCTGCCGAATCTGAGATATTACACACACACAAGAATATTTTGTAATTTTTATGGCATTTGTAAAACAAATGTATTGGTACTTTAATAGCCTCGAGTAATAGTCCAGACTTTTACATTATTAGACTTTTTTTAGACCATCAGAACCAATATCTGCTTAACGAGTCCTCATTCAAGTTCAGATTTAAATTTGAACCAGGCGCAATAAATTGTTTACTGATTGTTATTTTCATAATAATATAAACAGTCAGGAGTGACTAAAATCCCAAGTTCTGACATCCATCTCCAACATCTCCCACTTTCTAAATATTCCTCAGCCTGGGAGCCTCTCATGTCGGTGGGCTATCTTTAGATCCAAATATGACATCATCTGGTCCGTCTTATCAGCTGCGTCTCATGGCTATTCAAACCAAATAACACAAACACTGGTAGAAAGCTTCAGAGCCATACTTGGAGTTTATGGCGGGGCTCTGACGCTCTTCTCCTCCTGCAGGAGTGACAGGACTGTGCTCTCTCCCACCGGCTCCGCTTTCACCAGGGAAGATGCTGACCCCCTGACACCGGCCCGGGAACCCCAGAGCAACGTGGGAACGGAGACGCAGAGGCTCATGGGAAAGGAGGTGAAGGAGGAGCAGAATCGGCTGAAAGGCTGCGTGGTAAGAAGCTTTGGTATTTCACTCTATAACTGCAGAAACCACACTGCTGCGCCATCAGCCTCTTCCAGTCCTACGGCATCTGTGGCTGCACAAAGTGACGCATTTCTCTGGTTTGGAAAATGCCTGATTTACTATTTAAGCAGGTTTTTCCTAAATAACAGTGCTTTTGGAGTCGTCAGATGGTCCGTAGAGCCGTGGCTTGTAGTCTTGGCAGCCGCTGCTTTTCCATCCTCCCAGCTAGTTAGTTGCACTTAATAACACCATATGATGTAAGAGTTGTGAGGAAGCCCTTGATAAGATGAGGGGAAAAGACACCTTGGCTCAACTACACAGAGAAAAGTGCTATACAGTATATATTATATACTGCATTTACCTCAGTCTGAACATTGCCCTGTGGGATACACAGGAAGAGCTTTGAGAGGTGTTATTTACCCTGGCACAAGAATACCATAAGTTGCCATGAAAAATGTCAAGCTGTGACGGTACAACATGGCTGAACACTGGGCCAGAGCAAATAAGTCTCTCCCTCCAAACCCACATTTCTATGGTAAAATAGTATATTGGCTTTACAAAGTACACAGTCATTGGACTAATGTTGTATTAATAGATGGCCTGTGGGTCAGCTTGGGGTGAGTGTATAATCTGCAGAACATGTGTATTCCTCAGACACAACATTCCTCATCTTTGAAGCACTTTATTGACCTGCCACTGCCCATAAACCTAGAGGAAATACTGTTAGCGTCTTTTAGAAGAGGACGTATCGAGGAACTTAACTGTGGGCTATGTTAAAACCAGTAATTATCTTTATTTGTAGTCTTTTAAGTTGGCACATTACATCTCTTTACAATCCGTAAGTAAATGAACAGTTGCTATTTGTGCCCAGCCCAGAGGAATCCCAGAATTCAATGCTCCTGACCTTGAGCTCATGTGAAGTCCCTGCTGAGCCTCTGGCCTCGTTTCGCCTTGAGAAAAAGTACCCAGATACTCAAGGAAAGAAGACTTCACTCTTTCCATTCTTGCTTTGTTTCAGGGTCCGTTTATTTCCCTGCTCATGTTTTTAGGCTTCAACCCGCTTCACCTGTGACAGGAACCATGAGGCCAGCAAGCCTGGCTCATTTGTTTCTCTTAACGTCCCGATTCCTTTCACTGCAGAGCTAGGAGTTACGTATGTGCTGCTGTCTGTGGGGGCCCCTCTTGTTACTCTTTATGGAAGGACTAATAATACACTCCAAACAAAACCCTGGAGCCCAAAGGCCAAACTCAGTTTTACTGTTGCACCACCAGTTGAACAGTAAAAGTCATTTAATCACATACTTTCACTTTAACTCCAGCTCCTGGGTGTGTGGAATTGATTACAGTATTTTTAAAGGGTACGAGATGCAGCTGCAGCGATTTGCATATGTGGTGGTAGACAGAACTTTCAGTTTATCTGTAGACGTGCTAACACACTTTGTTCCTCGTAGTCTATCCCTCGCTGGTGCAATTTGACTCGATAAAAGGTTACTGTAAAAGTGTTGGCGTCCGTTTGAGTATGGATACATGCAGGATAATCCATATTATATATCATGTCTGTGTCAGCAGTAGTATGGCCTCTTGTTGCTGGAGGTAAACATGGCTATCGTCTGTTTCTCTGGCTAATTGTTGCCAGATGCCGGGGCTGCGGACCAGATGGGCTCGGTGCTAAGTAATAGTTCTTGGCTGACATCACTTTGTAGCACATTGTAGAAAGACACAGGGGAGATCAGCAGATAAGAATCAACAGTACCAAAATAGGGAGCAGTATGCTGAAAGAACAAATGATTGGATGATGCCTAAAATCACAGAATACTTTTGAATATGACATAGTAAATAATGAAACATCATTTTTTTAAGACATTCTCTTTCAAATGGAAGAATGGGATGTTGGGTGCACCGCAGGAGTTGTTTACAGTGGAAGCCTCTGTGAAGGATGAAGGACAGAAGCAAATATCGGGGGAGGACACGTCATTGATGGTTATCGCACCTGTCAAATGAATCACAGTAGTTTGTTAGTTCTGCAGTTTCAGCGCAAAAATCGGCCCGATAATGTTCCTTTATGAAACTCAGACCGGTCTATAAAATGACTGGCATGTTAGTGAATGATGTTAGAGCCTTTTAATTCTCGCATCATTTTTAAGGCAACACTTTCCTCCAGGTCTCTGACTCACTTCTTCTATAAGCCAAGTCTGAAAATAAATTAAAGCTACTCCATTAAACTCTATTATTAATGGCTGTTTCGTGCTTTTTAGCTGTCATGTAAATCAGATTTTTTTTTTTTTGCATTGACAGTCGCATATTTGGTACGCTGTTTGTTCAAAGACTTTACTTATGTCAGCTACATTATGTTATAAAGAACAATTAACACAGCATGGTCTGTATTATTCATACAGTTAGACAGGGAAATGTCAGCATAAGAGAATGTTCGACTAGTTTTATAGCTCATTTAATTGTTTCATATTTATGCCAAGCGGTCTTGGTAACCAAAGCAAGTAAAACATTATTAGCAAATAACCTAAAAGTTGTGTTGGCTGATATATGGTTTTAAATGATCCATACAAACAGCATACCTAAAATGAAATGGGTACAACCAAAACTTTGTATTGTAGATTGATTCTTGTTTTTGGTTCTGTTGGACCCTGTTGCAGTACAACGTTTCAGATGTTTGCAGCCAATAGGAAACCCATAGGGCTGTGCTGAATAGTTGTACGTTTCAAAGCTTCACATAACGTTGACATTTCTAGTTCTAAAACAACAATTCAATGCTGCACAGATGTTTAGTTTTTGCAGATGAAGACACATATTGTGCTCCACTTGTATTATTAGTATTCTACTATAAGTATGGTTAGGTTCCAGTGGTGGAGGCGTATGATTTCCCATACTTTTTTTATATAAACATTTCCAATTCAAAGTCAAAATGCATTAAAAAAAGAGATATTTCATCATCTACAAAAAGCGAAACATGTTCTTATATTACAAATTCAATCTATATGTCAATTTATACACAACATTATGTGTTTATTTATTTATAAGATATTTGTTGTGCAAGAGGGGGCCTTTGTTGTATAGATGCAGCATTAAAAGAGCAAGAAAAGGGGAATAAAATTGCCAAATTCAATACTTCTGCGTCTGATAACGTCCAAAAGTATGACGAAATCATCATTTTAAACCTTAATAGAGGCTTTGAATGTAAAATGAAAACGATACGCCGTCCCGCCCTAATATCCCATTTTATGATATGCCAGATATATGTAGCTCTCTTTGGAAACCCTCATGCAGAGTCCTTTGGCCAACCTTTAAAGAACTCACATGGTTGTAAAAGAGGTGTAATGGCTGCTGACGTTTTTAATATATTTCTACACAGCGACAAGTTCTATAGCTCTGGCGTTGACCTTTCTAAAGTCTGCACTGCATAGTTCTAAACACAGTCTGGGTGGAAATCAGTATCTAAGGCCGACAACACACTGCAGCTGTTTAATGAGCGCTGGGGATAGGGGATTTCAAAGAAGGGCTCTGTTCCTAACTGCAATGGCTCTTTTTAGTCATCAGAGTGTTACAGCACATGTTGGCCACCTTGTTAGACCTAATGTGTTCGTTCACAAAGCAATTATAACATATTTAAACTTTCACAGCCATCTTTAGTGTTTTTATTTCAGACGTTGGTGCTGTCAAACCAAAAGGAGCTTGTGTCTTTAGTCTGGCCTGGGTTCTTTCACAGACAAGAGCCAACCTTTTAAAGAGGGAGTTCGCTTTGTGCCATTTACAGGAGAGGCTTTACTTTACTCTGGGCAGACGTCCATGTTGTCCCACCTCCAGCCACATTGTAGCATTCACATTAACAGCGAGCTACAGCAACGGCTTATTGTCTTGTGACTCCTCGCAGTATAAATCCTCCATTTGAGATGTTTATGCCTCCAGAGGACATTTTATTCAATGGACGGCTGACAGAAAAAGCCAAACATTACTCACATGTCATGATGCTGATCTCTTGGATTTTCTTTTGACTCTCGTCCATAGAGTCCTGTTGAATGTGGGATGGGTAGGAGGACACCGAGCAGCGTCAGCCAGGATCAGCCATCAGGGAACCACACCTCGTCGCCCACGGGAGGCGGCCCTGCCTCCGCAAATTATGTCATCTTCCGACATCAATTAAAGGGGGAAAGGTGACTTTTCGGCCTGGCTTCTCTCTCTCTCTCTGTGACTTACCATGAGAGATCTTTATGTAAGTCATAATTGGAGTCACATGTCTGTGTTTTCTTTGCAGCAGGAAGCCCAGAGCAGAGCCCAGGCTTGCCACCGCCACACCAGGCCACCCACAGCTCCCCTCGCAGCTCCAGAAGTTCACCGTGTCTGCTGACAAGGTGATTGACCGGCTCGGCCATACACATCCGCAATTCCCTTTTTCACCAGAAATCCCCTTTCAAAACCAAATCCTGTGTCCTCTACCTCACATTATTATTGACTTTTTAACACTTGCACCCTTTTCTTGTAACCGGCTACAGACATTATGACTGTAAATGATACAGCGTTGTCAGGAGTTATACTGTGACTATTTACTGACATGTGTGGTACTGTGTTCTCATTTAGAATAATTTAATTTAATTTGTATTTATTTGTACAAATTCTAAGTGTGTTCATCTTCCTTTGTTTAGGATTTACACTAGTTATAACCGTTATAATAACTTTTTTTTCCTTTGGTTGACACAAAAGACAAGACATTTAATGTATTTATAATAAGACTCATAATGCCACCTCAGCAGTAAATGATAAAATCATAGAATTGGGTCAGAATTTTAAAAAACACCTGGTTGCTTTGGCTTCCTGTGGACTCTTAAATGTCATCACCCTTGTTTAGAAATATATCTCTAAGCTGTTCTCCTCTTGAACCCTGTCCCTGTTTGCTCCCCTTTCCATCTCAGACTTTGTCCTGGCTCAAAGACAACGTGTCCATGGCCACGCAGGTTTGCTCAATAGCCAGCTCTGAGGGCCTGGAGGCAGCCAGGAGGTGTCAGCACGCTCTGCAACAAGAAATCCTGACCAACAGGGCCAGGATAGAGGTTGTCAAACGGGTAAGCCAAGTCCTTTTCACAGTTTGTCTTAAAAACATAAGCACTGGATGAAGGCCAATATAAAATATCCCCCCACATTTTGCAAACTGGGCACCTGGACAGGCATTATTCAAATAATGAGCTGACATTTCATCTCTCACGGCTTTAGTAACCCCAAAGCTGCCGATTAGGTCCGTATTTCACAACCCAAATCCCAGTCCTTAGTCATCACATGCCCTCATCAGTTTAACGCTCAATCCTCAGGAGGGCCGCGGGTTGGTCCGTGCACAGCACCCGGGCAGCGCCAAGATAGAGGAGTTCCTGGGCCAGCTGGAGGTCCTGTGGGAGGAGCTGCGGAGGAGGCACCAGAGGAACAACGCGTTTCTGCAGGCCTCAGAGGAGCTGGGCTTCAGGGTGAGGTTCATCAAATATCTCACACAATAGGCACTCCTCTTGAGTAACAACGAGGCTTTTACTTTAAATGTATGGTGATGACGGATGATCCTGGATCCCATTGGAGAAGCTTTCAACTGGCAAAAAGCCTTTACATCCACTCATGGTTAGAAGCTCATTTACTTTCATCTTTAACATCCTAATGGGAAGAGTCTGCAAGCTAGAGTCCCCGAATTTATGAAGGGTGATCCAAGGTATATAAATTGCACTACCATATAATTAGATGATGGGATGGAAAGAGGCTACAAATCTGCCCAGATTGATGACTTGGTTGGAAAGTTGGAGTTTCTTATTACAAAAGATGGTCTACTTACTCTAGGTAAACCCGTTATTGTCTTCTCTGTACTATACATCACCTCATTACAATGTATTTATTACTTCAATAAACAGTTTTCATTTCCCTGTACACTTACATTTTGTTCTTTTTTTTATCCTATTCTATTAACATGTATATACAGTAGACTCCTGCTTTGAATTTCTCACTTAAAACATTCTCTGCAAAATGTAGCTTATTTTATTATTTTTTAAGACTTCATCTGCATTACTTACAGATTGGCCTTGAACAAGCTTTCACTATTATAGTATACTCTGTTTATTCTTGCACTATTTTATTGTTTTTCAATTAGTTTTATTGTTTTATGTCATAGAAATATTATGTTGCATTGTGGGAGCAGCTGGGACTTAAGATTTCCATTGCCATATCTACACTGTAGCTACTATGCATATGACAATAAAGCCTTTGGTTGTTGTTTTTTTGCTCTGCACTCAATCTTAGCACCATAGCATGTTCATCATTAGCTTCTTGAATTGAATTGAATTGAATTGATTTATTTAAAACAAGGGACAGTGTACATTAATCAACATATTAAAAACATGTAAAAGTACTCGAATTAGCCAAAAGGCTAGTTTTCATCGATAGTCCCTTTGCCAGATGGTGATAGACATCCTCGTGTCCTGTGCAGGTTGTTAAAGTGCTCCAGGCCCTCGGCAGCCTGGAGGCCTGGCTGGAGTCCGTGGAGCTCTCTATGAAGGAGTCTGCTCTCGCCGGTGACCCCGAAACAATGAGCATGGCCGAGAGGGAAAGCTGTCTGCTGGAGAAAGAGGTGGCAGCTCGCAGCCTGGAGCTCAGCGCTCTGAGGCAGGAGGTGGAGTGCCTCCACAGCGCCAGTCACCCCCACACACGGAGCCTGCCGGCACGCATGGAGGAGGTGGAAAGAAAGTGAGTTTGTCAGAGGAGGAGAAGGAGGAGTGGTATCATCAAATAAGAGTCATGTTATGGGTCTGAACAATCACACACTGGTGGTTTTGCTCGTCACTGTGGTCAGGAAACACAGTAAGGATGTTGTCAGTGTTTCCAAGAGGTCACAGGTTTGGGCTTGCCGAGTCATGGAAGAATTTATTCATAAAATCCCCGGTTTTTATTTAAGATAAACAATTTTACCCCATAAACCACAAAAATATATTAGATCTCATGTTTTTTCTCGGGGTTGCCAATAAAGAATGCTCTCCATGCGCTCATTTATTGCGAGGCTCGAGTTTATTCATTCGTGATTCATGCAGCACTTAGCGAGTTTACCCCACAGTCCCGAAATGCACTTCAGCCCACAGCTTGTCTGTGTGTGTCAGAGTCACCCGCTGCATGTGTTGCAAGATGACGCCTTTCTCTTTGCTTGGTCCTGGAAAGACAAGTCGTTGCCATGGACTCTTGGTAAAACCCCATGATGTTGGCCTGTTTAAAGGACGTACCTTGTCCATAAACACACGTTCAGACTCTGTAAAGAACACAGTTGACCAAAGTAAATAAAGAAATGGAAAGGGCTCAGTTTAAGTGTTTCCAGGGTGGGGGTGTTAGATAGGGGCGGGGGGGNGGGGGGGGGGAATGGACACACTGCAGAGTGAGGAACCTTTGATGCAGGTCGAGGCTCTCACCAAGCAGCTGTAAGACACTTGCGATGATGTCATTATTTAATGCTGCGTACAAGCAATTTAAGGCTCATTAATTCCGGAGAAAAATACCCTTTGAAATTCCTCCCTTTACCATCTCAAATATAAACTGTGCATGGACAAGGTACATTCATGCCCTGAAGTACAGGAAATGTTTACTTGACACGTGATATATGATAACATAAACAGCGCTGTAGTACATGAACTCTGTATTCTGATGGAGGTCTCTTTAATGTGGTTCTTCCAACGGATGCAGACTTGTACTGTATATACGGATGCGGAGGTGTAGCTTGTCATTAAAAGCTTCCTACTGGTTGTTTCTATGTGTGTCCTTCAGGTACCATCGTGTCCAAAGTGCCCTGACCCAGCAGAACTCCGAGCTGCAGGACACACGGATGCTGACGGAGTTCTTGGAGCGCGTGGAGCTGGAGGAGAGCCAGGAGCTCAGCGGGAGTCGCTACAGCCTCGGCCAGGTGAGGAACTTGGGCTTCTGTGTTAGTTAGCACTGCAGTAGGTCTCTCCAGCAGCACCTATGACACCATGAGGACACACATTAACAAGATGAAAAGTATACTAAAGTGACTAGTGTCGTGATTGCAGCTCATAATAGAAATTGTTGAGGATTTGTTCAGATACTGTTATGTAAGGATTTTGTTATGTGATGTTAGTCTGTGAGATGTCATTAGGTGAACATTTGTTTTGGTGACTTGAAGTATTACAGTTCAGTTGCAATGCTTTCGCACACTTAAATTATCCACAAACATCCAGATCATTGTTTTGTTGTATGAGCAATGAATATCTCAAAACTAAGAAACAAAAAGTAAGACAATTTAAAAATGTCCAACCAGCCTTATAATAACAACTCTGTCTCTTTCTGTATCTAACAGCCTCTTCACAGTGAGATCTCCTCAGCTCCTACACTACTGGGACTCCAAAGTACTGGCGGCAGTGAGCCCCTGATAGAAAGCATGGGAGACCCTGTGGAGGAACTAAGAGAGGCCGTAGAGATGCTCAATGACACCGTTAGGGAGAGGGGCCGATCACAGAGCCACGACCAGGCCATCCAGGAGCTGCTGAGCAAGGTGAGGAGATGGGAGTCACTTTATATTAGATCTAATATTCACTGCAATGTTTGTGAAATTACAATAATCTGAGAGGGCTGAAGGTTTTTGTTAAATCCCTCAACTTCTGTCACAAACAGCTGCCAACCCATAGAGTCACATCTGGTTTCCTTTTGTCTGTGGCTATGTTCTTTAATAGGCCCTAAATGAGCCACAAGTCCCCCTCACATGAGTGTTTCCGCGTTAATTCCAGTTATTCCTGGTACAGAAAGCAGCGCACATGTCAAAATAGCACACGCACGGCCGGAAGGGATTCCATGACACCCTTTTAAACATTTACTTGCAATGTGGCTAGAACAAATAATACACAGCGAGGCGTAATGACATCCTACGAGTACTCATGATGAGTTTGCGTTCCCCCCCCAGCACGCCAGCCTGGCGGTGCACGTGGAGGAGTGCTTGAGCTGCAGCAAGGAGCTGAGCCTGGACATCCTGGAGAAGGAGACAGACATGGCCGTCCAGTGTGAGCCCGATCGCTGCGGCCTGGAGGCTCTGCAGGAGAGGCAGGACCTCCTGGAGGTGAGAGGAAGACGCTGTAAACACTGGAGCTAATATAATTTAGTATCCCATCCAATTGGCTTTGGATTAATGACCTTTGCTTGGTGTGATTTAAAAAAAGCGAAGCCCCCCTCTCTTTCTCGCACACATTGTTCCACAGTCTGTTTCCTGTTGTGCCAGATTTTTCTTACATCTAAAAAAATAAAAGAGGGCAGCCCATCATGCTTTGTGCTGTGTTTAATTTATTACATAAACTGCACCGTGCAATCATACACATAGAGCGTGCAAACGTTTATTATTCACACAGGATATTTATTTACGCTTGTGTGAGTCATTGTTCTGTAAACTTTCAAAGTGTGTGTGTTTGTGAGTAAATCTGGCGGGGTTTGTGTTTCTACACATCTGAGGGGTCACAGGGTTGGAGATGTGAGGTTGGTACAGTCCTGTGTGAGTCATTTTTGGGCAGTGTTATGTTTATCACACACACACACACACACAGCTGTCTGGACTTGATACCATTGAAGAGCAGAAATGACCTAATCGTCCAAACTGAAATAACTGTGGCGTCAGCAGACAGGCATCCACCACTCCGTGTTCTTGAGGCCTTCTGTAGCTGAGAAATGTTATGAAGCATAACTCCCAGAGAACCCTCGACGCTATTAATTACCGCCTCGTCAAAAGGAGAACAAAAATGGTCAAGATTGCTAGCTTGCTACGGCATGGGAGCCCATATGCGGACCATATGGGTCTCTCGCTGAATGATATGCATACAACTATGGGGATGAGGTCATAGTCATACACACAGATACAATTGGTACAGGCTGTTTGAGTGATACCGAGGATGATGGACGATGATAGATTTTTTTTTATTATGATTCTCCGCAGATTGACTATGAAGTCATCAGGGAGGAGGTGAAGGAGATGGAGAGCCAGACCTCTCGTTTGGAGGAGCTGTGCCCGGAGAGAGTACACGTTCTGGAGGCAAAGATCCGGGCCATGCTGCAGGGCTGGACAGAGCTGGGGAGGAGTGTGGCGGAGAACCAGTCCCGTCTGCAGGAGTTTGTGCAGCTCCAGGACTTCTTCAGGAGCTACCTCGCCATGATGTAAGCAGGGTGGGCTCGGGTGATGCTGTAAAGACCTTTTTCCTGCCAGACGTTGTTTCGTAATCCTCTTTGTGAGAAACATCTGCACATTACAATGTCTTCGCAAGGGGAAGGACAGGATGTTCTCGTTGTCAAGCAAAAGCAAGTCCCTGGTGAAATGTATAATTGAAGATGTGCTGAGGAGGTCAGCGCACAAGGCGATGAATGTCTGTCCTATCAGGGAGAGTCTGGTCAATCTCATGTTTTGTTAGAACGTATGTCTTTTCTCAAAGTTCTGCTCCTTGTCTTCTCCCTCCCCCCATTCCTCTGTATAGCTCTTGGACTGAAGACACCAGGTCGTGCATTTTCTCAGATACCGCCTTGCATCTTGGGAAAGACGGGCAGAGGCCACTCGCTGCTGAGCTGGACTTGCAGATTGAGCAAAAGTTTGAAGAGTTTGATGAGCTGGCGGACACGGGGAGGAACCTTTTAGACAGAGGACACCACCTCACGCAGATGGTGAGTTTGAATGCTGACTCACTGCGGTCTTTTAATAAACTGTTGTATTTTTCCACCTTTAGAACCCTGAGTAATGTCTTACAGCTAAGAGAGCGCATGGAGGAGCTGAGGAGCATGCTCGGCTGGATCTCAGTGCACTGGAGGGCTCAGAAACAACAGCGGCTTCACAAGATGAGCAGAGATGAGCCTTCACAGGATAACATCTATTCTGAGGCCACTATGTGCTCTACCTTGACAGAGGTACATAAGCACAAAGGCATTTATTCTAGGGACAGTCATTGGTCTCTGGAAAAAAATTAAGCAAAAGTCCTTAAAAATAAAAAATAAATTGTACCATGTCAAGTTTTACACTAACACTAATAGCAGATTTTCAAATACGATTATTGTGGCCCAAACAATATAACAATATTTTCCAATACCTATAGAACATAAGATTTTTTTTTTTATGTTTTGGGTGTGTGTGTGGTGTTGGGGGAGGGAGAAAAAGTGAGCATGTAAAGAAATAAAAATAACTTGAGACACTAGATTATTAACATAAATAATTATATTTGTATTAATAACAATACTTATTTATATATTTATTACCTATTTCAAACCAAGAAGTATTTATTTTTAATAAAAATCCCAGCAAATTTTATTATAGCCTGAAGTAGAACTGAAGATGTTGGCATCCACAAAAAATTTCTTATCATAATGATCAAGAATCATCATAATAATCCACACAACCTTAAAGGTGGGGTAGGTAAGTTTGAGAAACCGGCTCGAGATACACTTTTTCTTATATTCCATGGAATGCTCTTAACATCCCGATAGCAATGAATATCTTAAGTGCTTTGACAAAAAATCCATAACAAAATGTCATCCGTGGAAGCCGTAGTACTGTAAAAAGCACGACCAATTATTTAGCCGGCCCGGCTAAAATAACTGGATGGCCTAGCTGCCTGTCAGCTTTCCATCTGTGCACAAACTTATCTCATGCCCTCATTGGTCATGTGCGCGTTCGTGTGTGTTGGAGGAGGA